ATTTTTGTAAAGGGGGATTGTTAAAACTGAGAAGACCCCCTGCTGAAAAAGAGAGTAGGGATAATGCATAAATAGTTTATATTCGCAAGGTCTACTCAATGTAACCCTTTTCCCCTTTTCATAAAAATTTAACTTCTTTATAAGTACCCAAGATTTAAAACTCTCACTCTGGCCCGTGCCTTGTAAATATAACACACATGCAGAATAAAGTTATCCTTTATTGACTTTTTACCCACCAGTGGGGGTTTTCAAGCCCCAAACAATTTACCTTGGGTGGAAGGCACGAGTATTTTTTAGTCGGGGTTTAGGGGTGCTGCACTGAGATCTCCGAGTGGGGTTATGTCTAAAACTTTGGGGAGCTTGGGAAAGGGGGAAATTGGGTTTTGTTTTGGCAGACCTGTGCATGTTCCCCCATTCCTATGCTCTTATGTGGGATAGCGATGAAGTTTCTTGCCAAGTGGTTCAGCTATGTTATAGAAGCCATTGTTCTGGTTGAAGTTATTGGATATAGAGATAAGTGATGATTCCAGGATTCTTCGGTATCGAGTGTTGTCTTCTCTGGTGATAAGTCTCGAGTTTCTGTAGTTTATTAAATGGTTGTTTGAATTACAGTGTTGTACACAGGCATTCCTTGTATCGTCAGACCTGCTTGCGTATTGGTGTTCTGAAATACGTGTTTGGAGGTCTCTTGATGCTTCACCCACGTATAATTTGTTGCAGTCATTACAATGGATTATGTATACCCCTGCAGAGGATGGAAGCTTGTCCTGTATTACTGGTAATGTCCTTGATGGTCATGGTTGAGAAGGCAGATACTTAGAATGAGGTATTGGAAAGGATGTTGGAAACGTGTTTGGCAATGGAGTTGGTAGGGAGGACTATGTATCTTCTCGGCAGTGTCTTCTCTGGGTGTGTTAAAGATGTCTGTCACCTGGCTCCATTATGTTGACGACGTTCTCCTCATAACTCCCAGACGCTTCAACGTTCAAGCTCTCCAAGACAAGCTCAACCAGGTCGAGCCCTCAATCCAGGTCACACTTGAAGTCGACAACACTCCTCCTTTCCTTGATGATCTTCTCTGCAAAGCTGGCCATGAACTTCGTTTTAAAGTCTATCGAAAACCCACCAACCAAAACGATCTTCTGCACTTCTACTCTCACCCAGACACCAAAACTAAACGTGGTGTAATTGTAGGCTTCTTCCTGCATGCACTCAGAATCTGCAGCAATGAGTTCCTTGAGGAGGAATGCACTATAATTGAACAAGTATTTTCTAAACTCCACTATCCTCGTCACTTCATCAGAGACTGCAGAAGACGGGCACTAAACATCTTCAACACACCCAGAGAAGACACTGCAGAGAAGAGATACATAGTCCTCCCCACCAACTCCATTGCCAATCATGTTTCCAACATCCTCTCCAATACCTCATTCCAACTATCTGCCTCCACAACCATGACCAAGGACATTACCAGTAATAGACGGGACAAGCTTCCATCCTCTGCAGGGGTATACATAATCCCTTGTAATGACTGCAGCAAATTATACGTGGGAGAAACATCAAGAGACCTCCAAACACGTATTTCAGAACACCAATATGCAAGCAGGTCTGACGATACAAGGAATGCCTGAGTACAAAACCGTAATTCACACAACCATTTAATAAACTACAGAAACTCGAGACCTATCGCCAGAGAAGACAACACTCAACACTGAAGAATCCTGGAATCATCGCTCATCTCTATATCCAACAACTTCAACCAGAATAATGGCTATAACATAGCTGAACCACTTGCCAAGAAACTTCATTGCTATCCCACATAAGAGCATAGGAATGGAGGAACACTGCAGAAGGTCTGCTCGCAAACTTATCCAATCTCCCTTTCAAGCTACCCAAGATTTTAGACTCTAACCCCACTCGGTAGATCATCAGATGTAAAGTAAAAGGACACAAGTGCAACTAATGTGACATTTATTGTGGCAACGTTTCGCTCTCCAGGATTTTAAAAATTCGACCATTACCCCCCAATACAGGGAACAGAGGGTATAAAAAGGGCTCTAGTGGGGTTTGCAAAAACTAGGAGGAAACCTTTTTAATTTTTCGTTTGTTCACTAGGGGTATTTGGGTTTTAGTAAAAAAATAATCCCAATTGGAAGAGCAAAAAATTTCGTGCATGGGGAAAAGGATATAAAAAAGCTATTTTTTTGGGTAACAAAAATGGGTTGGAAAAAATAAAGACGGGAAAGGGCATTTTTTTTTTTTTTTTTTTTTTTTTTTTTTTTTGTTCACTCTTTTTTAAGTGTTGTTTTGTATAACAGGAGGCAATTGATGGCGGGTTTTAAAACTTTTTTCCAGGAGGTTCCCTTGCTAAGACTTCGGGATGGTGAAGCTCCCTTTTGTTTTTTTAATTGTATTCGGGAAAAGCGATCAGTGCTGATTCAAAGGCACTTGCGTGTGCGAAAATTTAGTTTTTTTTTTTGAAACACTAATTGGGCGTCTCTGAAATTTTATGAGATGATTGGGGAATTTCGGGGTTGTACACAACGTTTTTTTAAGTTGTGTTCCTACAAGCGTAAATTTTGGTTTTATTTAAAGGGGGGTCGAGGTTTTTTTTTGCGGGTTTTACCCACGTAGATCTTGTCAAAAAGCCTCCACCCGGGGGAAAAGTTTAAACCCTGCATTGCCCCGGTTGTGGTGCTTTTGGGGTTTTTTCCCCCGGGTTTTTAAACCTTTATTGAAGTGGAAAAAGCGATGGCGACTCTGGTGTTAGCTTGTGAAAGTACTTTTGAGACGTTTAGTGCAACCTGGCTGTTGGGAAGAATTATAACTTTGTTGGGAGCGGTGTTGATGCGTGGAGAATTGATGATCTGAAGAGCTCTTTTCTTGCAGTCTTTGATGAAAAAAGAAGGAAATTGTAACTCAGTGAATGTTTGGTGAATGTAAGTACATTCCTCGTCAAGAAACTCAGGACTACAAATTCGGTGTGCTCTTAGGAAAAAACCCGATGATGATGCCTCTTTTGGTCTTGGTATCTTGACTGGAATAGAAGTGTGTGAGATCATTTTTATTGGTGGGTTTCGATAAACTTGAAATCTTAGGTTGTTGTCTACTTTGTGAATGAGGACGTCGAGGAAAGGTAGCTTGTCATTGGACTCTTCTTCTAGTGTAAACTGAATCGCTGGTTCAACTGCGTTGAGCCTTGCCTGAAGATCCCGTACATCAAAACGTTTTGGAGTTATTACGAGGACATCGTCCACGTAATGTAACCAAGTGACGCTTGAAGGGATGATGTTGGTGAAGTGTTCGGACTCTAGGTGTTCCATGTATAAGTTGGCTAGGACGGCACTTATTGGGGACCCCATTCCCATGCCGTAGGTTTGTTTGTAGAGCTTGTTATTGAAAGAAAAACAGTTGAAGTTAACACAGAGTTCAATCAAGTCAACAAAATCTCCGGGAGGTAAAGGAACATTAAGGTCAACTTAAACAACGCCTGTGTACAACACCGAAATTCCACCAATCATCTCATGAAATTCAGAGACGCCCAATTAGTGATCAAAGAAACTAATTTTCGCACACGCAAGTGCCTTGAATCAGCACTGATCGCTGTTTCGAATACAATTAAACAAAACAACGGCAGCTTCACCATCTCCGAAGTCTTAGCAAGAATCCTCCTGAAAACAGTAAACCCTGCCATCACATAGTCTCTCCTGTTATACTACACAAGCACATTACAGAGAGTGAACCCAAAAAAAAAAAAAAAAAAAAAACCTGCCTCTTTCCAGTCTATATTTGTCCAACCTATTTTTATGTTACCCAAGTAATAGCTTTTATATCCTTTTACTCATGTACGAATTATTTGCTCTTCCATATTGTATTATTTTTGTTACTACTACTACTACTACCACTAGTGAACATCGAAATGGTACCTCACTAGTATTGCACCTCACTCAGAGCCTTTATATACCCTCTGTGTCCATGTATTGTTTGTAATGGCTTGATAAAGCTCCTGGAGAGCGAAACGTTGCCACAATAAATGTCACATTAGTTGCACTTGTGTCCTTTTACTTTACATATTGTCGGTAATTCTACCAACTTTATTACAGATCATCAGATGCAGCATTCTCCACCTGACCACAGCATTCTGAACCTGACTATAAATACTCGCATACCTTCCACCCCAGGTAGATCTGTTTGTGACTTGAAAAAGCCCACTGTGTGGGCAAAACATTGTTAATAAAGGATCACATGATACTGCATGTGTGTTTATGTTTCCATTGTGTCTATTTTATACCATTTATTTCCAAGCCTCTTATAGCTTTTCAGCTGACCTGTGACCCTTATATAAGGTGCCCTCCTACTTCTAATGTACATAATTCCAGTTGGGAGTCTAAATGTACAATTTCTTTTTAATTACTGTTTTCTTATTTACAAGTGGGATACTGCAACTTTGCCTATCAATACAGGAGGTGCAGCATCTTAGGCCTCTTATTTTTCATTTACAACAATGAGTTCCCAGGACCTCAACCAGTTCTGTTGGCAGATGACAAGTTTCATCTCAGTTATCCCAAACGTTTAACTACCTGAGTAATCACTCCATGCAAATAAAAGGCCAAAAATTATAGAACACACTACCAGAAGAATCAAGATGATCCTAATCTATTTCAAAAATAGTTCAACACTTGAATTTCATGTAAATTAACATACTGAATATTAATACAAATGTTTAATATACCAAATGCAACCTGTTTATAAAAAGATTCCAATCAGCATTCACACTAACCCCAATAATGACTACAGCTAAAACTTAATACAATTTTATATTACCATTTCTATATATTAACATTGCTGTTTTGATATATTTAATAATTATTTCAGGTAGAATAATTAAACAGTGCTCAAATAATCTAAGTTCAACTACATAATGTCAAGTAGTTTTATATTCTAGTTTTAGTCTGCCAAGATGCACTGCATAACCAGGGACTTTTCAACATGTGAAATAAATGCTATTTAACTTTTTAGCAACACGTACATTTCAAAAACAAAATTTGCTTTTTTGTTTTGCTCACCTGTCTTTTGTCTGAAAGATCAGTCTTATTTCCCACCAACATAATGATCACATCGCTACCACGCTCAGTTCGAACATCATCTATCCATTTTGATGTCTGGTGGAAGGAATTAGCATCTGGCAATGGGGAGAGTAAAAATGAATAAATTTGCATTGTCAATTAAATCAATTTAGTTGAACACCCTGGAGGATCCAAGGTGGCCAGAGAATTTTAGCCAAAGAAACAGAAAAATTATATTAGTAGGATGTTACATTGTTATGCAGGTTTCTGCATTGCATTTAAATATATATAGTGGAGGTGTGCGCCATAATTTTACCATGTTATACAAATGCGAAACATAATTCTATAAATAATGTTACACATTTGTGGAAGAGGGTAAGGTACCTAGGGATTGGCAGAGAGCATGCATAGTTCCTTTGTATAAAGGCAAAGGGGATAAAAGAGTGCAAACATTATAGGGGAATAAGTCTGTTGAGTATACCTGGTAAAGTGTATGGCAGAGTTATTATTGAAATACATAATTAAGAGTAAGAGAGTAGGATAGCAGATGAACAAGGAGGCTTTAGGAAAGGTATGGAGTGTGTAGACCAAGTGTTTACAGTGAAACACAGGTGAACAGTATTTAGATAAGGGTAAAGAGGTTTTTGTGGAATTTATGGATTTAGAAAAGGCATATGACAGGGTGGATAGGGGAGCAATGTGGCAGATGTTGCAGGTGTATGGTATAGGGAGTAGGTCACTGAAAGCAGTGAAGATTTTTTACGAGGATAGTGAGGCTCAGGTTAGAGTATCTAGGAGAGAGGGAGATTATTTCCCAGTAAAAGTAGGCCTTAGACAAGGATGTGTGATGTCACCGTGGTTGTTCAATATATTTATAGATGGGGTTGTAAGAGAAGTGAATGCTAGGGTCTTGGCAAGAGGTATGGAGTTAAAAGATAAAGAATCAAACACAAAGTGTTTGACTGTTTGCTGATGACACGGTGCTTTTGAGAGATTCTGAAGAGAAGTTGCATAGGTTGGTGGATGAATTTGGCAGGGTATGTAAAAGAAAATTAAAAGTGAATATAGGAAAGATTAAGGTTATGAGTATAACAAACAAATTTGGTGACGAAAGACTGGATATCAGATTGGAGGGAGAGTATGGAGGAGGTAAATGTATTCAGATATTTGGGAGTGGACGTGTCAGCAGATGGGTCTATGAAAGGAGAGGCGAATAAAGAATTGTGAGGGAAAAAAGGGGGGGAGCCTTAGGAGTCTTGGAAAAAGAACTTGTCCTTGAAGAAAAAAGGGGGAAATGATAGAGTATTTTTTGTACCAACACTTTTGTATGGGTGTGAAGAGGGGTGATGAATGTGCAGGGGAAAAAAGGCTGGAGGCAGTGGAGATGTATGTCTGAGGGCAATGTGTGGTGTGAATATAATGCAGGAATTCGTAGTTTGGAAATTAAAGGGGTGGGGATTACCAAAAAACTATTATCCAGAGGACTAGGGGGGGTTGTTAGGGGGTTTCACATGTAGAAAAAAGGAACACAAGGGAATGCTTAAAGAGTGTATAAATCTGTGCGGGGGAAGGGGGGGGGGTCACCCTAGAAGGGTTTGGGGGGGGGGGAAAGGAGGTTTTGTGCACGGGGGGCTTGGATTCCAGAAAGCGTGAAAGACACGTTAGATAGGAGTGAATGGAAAACAAATGGTTTTAAGGCTTGACATCGTTAGTATGAGCATGGTAACATTTATGAGGAATTCAGGAAAAAACCAGCGGGCCCCGGACTAAGTCCGGAAAATGGAAGTACAGTGTCTACACCGAAGGAGGTGGAAATGCATTTTTAAAACTGTAGTGTAAGCACACCCCCCACACACCCAAACAACACAACCAACACAACAAAACACAACACACCAACCACACAACACCCCCCCTCCCCCCACACTCCCCCCCTTTCCCCCCCCCCTTTTTCACCCTCCCCCTCCCCCCCTCTCCCCCCTTTCCCCCCTCCCCCCCCCCATCCCCATTTGTTCACCCCCTTTCCCCACCCCCCCTCCCCACTACTCTCCCAATAGCCACAGTTTCCCCCTCTACCTCCCCCCCCCCCACACTCTGACATACACAATACAAACCAACATACAAAATTTTTCATGGGTTTCCCACTCTGGGGCAATCAAATAAAAAAAAAAAGGGGTTGCCAAGAGCAACAAAAAAAAACCAAGGGACAGGGGGGGGAAAACTGTAAAGGAAGATTGGGGGAGCAGGCTCACAAAAAGGGAAAGAAGGGAAAAAGAAACAAAAAATTTAGCATGAGAATGGAAGAAGGATAACAGGGAAAGCAGGAAGTGGAGGGCAAGTCAGCGCGGGGCCAGGATCAGATTTTAGAAGGGGAACTAAAAAAATCTAAACAGCCAAAGAACTAAAGAACATTTTGGGATTGACAACAGAACCTCCTCGTCACAAAAAAGGGGGGACTGTGGGGAAAGAAGAGCAAAACTGCATTAGAAGCTCAATCAGTGGAGACTGTAGTAAATAAAGACAACTAAGTGGACCCTAACAGACCACAGCAAGCCCGGGGAAAGCCAAAGGGAAAAATGACGGGCCCACTGACCCAAGGGGTCTTTAAATAGTGAAACTGAAAAAAGGAAAAAGCCAAGGAGGAAATCAAATTGAATGAGGGGATACCAGGGATATGCAGGGGGAAATAAAAGGGGGTGGGGGCATCTTTGGGTAGGGGCCCTCCGGGGAATTTAAGGGGAAACATATAAAGCAAGAAAAAAAGGGGGAAAAAAAGCTTAAAAGCATCATGAAAGCAATGGGAGAAGACAAAAGACCCAGCGGGAAAATTTTTGGGAGAAAGGGGGGTAGAAAAAAAAAGAACCCGGCCAGTGAAAAGTGACCTTAAAGGGCAGAATCGACTCTGAACGGGACCCTGCAGGAAAAAAGCCGATTAAGGACATCCCGGATACAGGGGGGTTTTCTCGACCCGCGAAAAAAGCAAAAGCAGAAACAGGGGAAAGGGTACAAAGGCGAAAGGGGGAAAGAGGGGGGGAGGAGAAGACGACAGGAGATCCCAGACACAGGAAATCAAATACAGCCTCCCTCAAAACTTCCTGGGGAAGCCCCCAACCAGGTCCCCCCCCAGTGCAACCAAAAAAACAAAACCAAAACACCCATCCCACATCCAACCCCCACCCACTGCATTACAAACTCCCCCCCCACACAACCACCCTAGTTCCTTATCAGCTCCACTTCCCAACCCCAATACAACCCCCCAGACCACAATCTTAGAAAAAAATTTTGAAGGTGGGGGATACAAATGCGATGGAATAACAAATAAGGAGGAGTGGCACGAAAGAATCAAGGGACATCCCCAGACTAATACCCCAGAAACAAAACTCCCAAAATAATAACAATTCAATTTTCCCACCCGGGATATCAAATCCTCGGGAAAGCAAGGGAGGGAGGGGGAGGAGGAGTTGCACGCCATTAAAAACCAGGGGGGGTTTGAAAAATGGAAGGAATGGATGGCAGGGCGAAAGGGATACTTAGTAGAAAATCCAGTTAGGGACATAAGGTGAAAATTAGTAATTACAACCCACCACAGAACTGCAGGAGGCCAAAGAAGAATACGAGGAGCAACAGGAAAGGCGACCCCTAGCCGAGGGGGCCCCATGAGAGCACACATGGGGGGGAAAAGTTCAAAGTTAGGGGTGATTTAAAATTCACAAGGAGATTGACTGGGAAATGGGAATCCCGGGGGAAGGGGGTCCCAAAAATGGAGAGCCAAGATGATGGATGGGTACGGAAAACCTCAGCATCAACAGTTAGAGCACTACCAGAGAGAGGAGAGGATGAACCAGCAAGACTGGCCCCTTTGTATTCCCTTTGTTTCTGACATCGAGGATTCAGTAGAAAGGCCCCGGGGAGCTAGTGATCAGTGGTTTGGCTTCGATACATAGTTGAGCTCCAAGGGGAGAGAGCAGCGGGAAAAAGGGGTGGAAAACAAACTAAAAAAGGGGGAACTACTCAGGCTTGAGGAACTTCTTCAAGACATTTAGTGGAGAGGGAACTGACAGGAAAAACCGTACAAGAAAATGGGCTATTTTGCAAAAAAAATGCAAGGTGGGAGAGGAGAGGTTTTTTCCCGGGGAAACAGAAAATAATGGGGAAGAAAGAAAAGTCCTTGGTTTACCCCCAAAGGGTAGGGGGGCAAAAACAGGTGTACTAGAGAAAAGGAAAAAGGTACAGAAGACAGAGAACTCAGGAAAATAGAGAGATTAGCCAAGAGCCAGAAACGAATATGCACGATAAGAAGGGAGGCTCAGCGGCAATACGAAAATGACAAAGCATCGAAAGTCAAGCGACCCGAAGTGTTGACGCCCATCAGGAGGAAAACACCCCGTCAAGGGGCCAGGGAAACAGACGAGGAAGGGGGATGGGATAATTCACAAGAAACGACCGGAGGATTCGGAGCTCAAAACAAGATTTAAAAAGTATTTACAGTTGGAAACCAGTAGGACCCCGGAAATCAGAGCAGGGGGTCACCCAAGTGCTGGATGAGGTACAATAACAAGGAGGAGGGAAGTGCGCTATGTGAACTTTACACCTCAAAAGGGAGTGGACCCAAAAACATCTCCTGGGGCCTTAAAGAGGAGCAGAACATTTTGGGGTACCATTAACAAAGATCTCAAAACATCATTTTAAAATGGGCAACCCCCAAGGTAAGGGAAAATGGCAAATGTACCAAATTTTTAAAAAAGGGGGAAAAGACATGAGGCACTAAACTACAGACCTGTACAAACGTGTATAGTATGCAAGGGCATGGAGAAAGTCATCAGGGGAAGTGGTGGAGCACCTGGGAAAAAAACAAGGTATAATTGACAACCAGCAGGTTTTTAGGAGGAAAAACCTGTGTCAAAACTATTGAGTTTTTTTGACAAAGGTGACAGAAGTAAGACAAAAAGAGGGTGGATCGGCGCTTTTTTTGGACTCAAAAGGCCCTTTGACACAGTTCCTCCCAAGGGTTACTGAAAAACTAGAGGGATCAGGCACCATAAAAAAAAGGCACGCAATGGGTAAGAAAACCTTTCAGGGAGGGAACAAAAGGGCTGGTACTGAAGGTGTCAAAGTGGGG